TAATTTGAATTGAATTGTATGTTACCTGTAAGAAGTGGAATGTCAATAAAATAAATCCCAATAAAATCGTCATTACATGACAAAGATATAGTTGGCCAAGTGACGATAATTTGTTGATTGCTAACGTAGAATGTTGATGATACATTCAACTCCATTATATTCATTGATGGTAATGATATTGAAGGAAATGAAATTCCATATGTTCGATTACAACCGTATGGACTCGGAACATTTTTGATTGAATGATGTTTACCAAATGGACCATGGATATTGAAATGATTATCGCACTGGACAATAGTAATAATAAGAAAAAAGAAAGCACATGTTATTTGATGCAACAGCATCGTGCTACAAGGCCGGAAAAACTTCAGTCTCTCTACTGTCACCTGATATGATGATATGAAAAGTAAACTGATAACGTAGTATCATTGTATTTAAGTAGAATGATATAAAATGCAGTGCGTACGAGTATACAGCATGTCCAAAAGTCATGATAGTCTAAAAAATGGGATGTAAGTGTAGATACACTCATAACATTGTTAACAGTATTAAATCCTCTTAGTAAAAGAAAAAATTTGTTAAGTTTCCAATATTTCGGCTCTAGTATTGCTATTTGTATATTTATTTAAAAATAATAGATGGCCTATAGAAATTAACCGCTCAGTATTTTGCATATGTTTCGATGATATTAAAACGTGAAGGAGTAGTTTTTTTTATTAAAGATACGTCTTTTAACTCTCAACAGTCTTACATATTTCAACTGGTTCAATTAGGACTTACTCCTTTAGAACTAATAATGAAAAAGATATTGAGTAAGGCCGTACGAAGCATTTTAAAAGTTTCAAACGTCGATTTATTTGTCTTGAAATCAACATTATTGTTAATACACGAAAATGTATCCCTATGTAATTGCTACTTAGGTATAAAATTACCATTATAACTCTGCTTAGATATTTTTTACAGCCATGATTGACACCTGCTTAAGTATATAAAGATTTCCAGAACCTGAATGAAGGTAAAGAGATAACCACATTCCTACCCATATCCTCATATTCGATCAAATCAAAGAAAAACGCACTCCCATACACACTATAAATTATATCTCTAATATGTAATTGTTAGAATATTTAAGTAATCGAAAGTTATCATGAAAAGCACTTGAGCACATTGTCGAATTTCACTACATTTTCTAGTTGTCACGTATGAATTCTATTTCGTTGACATGGAATATGTCAAAACAATAAATTCACTTGAACCATTTGAACATATGTATGGCAACTGTAATGATCTCCATCAATTGCATTGCATAAAGCAGACGGATATGTTATAGTGAATGATAAGACACGCCGAAAAAGCGCATAAGAATAGATTGAAAATCTTTAGATGTTTTCTGAAGATGTACGTCAAACAAAAAATATGATTCATGAATCAAAACAATAAAAATATATGTAAAACTAAAGGAAATGACGTTTTTGTGCATGGTTTATACCGTTTCCTCCCTCCCCTCCAAATTAGTTTTTCTTTTGTTCAATTATTTTTTTTGTCGAAAGGTCACTTCCACGTTAAACATCAAAAACCGGTAGTAGTTTTAGATTTTGATAAACCAAAATTGTTTTTTTATTGAAAACAAGTATGATGTTTGGAAGCAGCGTTCAAAAATCTATGTGAATCAGATTCCAGTAAAATTTCATCCGTAGGGGATACAGTCTAAAACTTTACGAATAAAAATCTGAAGAGGAGTAGAGTGAAAATTTGAATCAGATATATTTTACGATGAAATGTAAATCTTCCGATGCCTTTTTGCATACTAATTTCGAAAATCACAAATACTAGCTATTTTTTAATATTTTACTTGAAAATGTGATCTTGTTCTAAATAAAAATAATAAGTTTTTTAGAAATTCTTGATTACCATATAGACCTTTTCTTTTCAAGAGTTCGAACTATAGTTATGCGGATCATGATTTTTTTCCGATTTTTTAAAATTATTTCGATAGACTGTGTTAAACTATACTGATGATAAAAACTTCACCTTTTAACAGTGAATCATTATAAAATTACTAGAATAGTGACCATTTTACTGCGACGACTCGAGGAGCGAAAAACACTCTGATGTCCTTTGTGTAGGCCGTAATTCAATAATACTTCAATGGATCGAGTTCAAACTTTTACGAAAACTTGGCCTGTATATGAACATTATTGTCTACAAATGTTAGAAAAGCATCTTTTTCTAAAGGAAAACAGTATGTCAATAATCATCGTGTTGTTATCAAGGACTCAGGGACAGTAATCTTGCAGTAAATTAGATAATCCTTTGAGTGACGAAAGACTTTATATTTGGTTTCAATTGCAAATGAAAATATCAAGAATTTTTCATTGTATCTGATAAAAGGTAACGAAAAGATTAACAGACAGATTTTTTAAGGTGAAAAAGCTTGAAGTAAAACTCTCGTCGCATTTAAACTACCGGAGTGATCTCATATCTTTGATCTGCATTCTTGATAGAGTATGCGCGCAGAAATTTCCAGACGTCCTGCATATACGGAAGCTGAGATCTACTGGCAGGTGGGGGGACTTTTGTCCACTACTACAAATAAAGTCTATGAACGTACTCAAAATACGTTTTATCTCATATTATACCAATAGTTTCATTTTATTTTATTTTTTTGTAATATATTCATTGTTTGTCTCAGAGATGTGCGGTCCACGGGGTTCACCCCGCGGGCCCCGCGGGGCCACGTGGCGACGGGCGGGCGGGGAAGAAAAATTTAATTAAACGCGGGATTAACGGGGCGCGGGTATTTTCCGGCACACGGGCGGGCGGGGCGGGTAATAATTTTTTTAAATGACACGGGTCTCGGGCGGAGCGGGTATGAAATACACGGGTTCGGGCGGGTAAACATTTTTTTTCGGGTGTGATGAAAGATCGTCAAAACTTATCACGGGATGTCCTTAGTATAGGTATGTAGTACAAAGTACATATTGATTGGTTCATTACTTTCATCCTATTATGTACAAGCTTGTCTACCATTTGTTTGTTTCTTTCTTTATCGTCTGTCATACGCAACTTCTACTATCAATTTATATTAAGTGAATAACTGGACTAAAACTTATTTTATATTTAGAATTATCGTTTGAATTTTTTTGTGAATTACTACTTAGGTCTGACCAAAAGTTCTGACAACATTATATAAAAATATAAAGATAAGGAGATATCTTTAATTTTATTTTATCAAATTTTGAGGACAGTTGCCATGATTATTTATACCAAGTTTGATCCTTTCCAACGATTAGTTAAAAGTTTTTTGAAGTTTTTTCGAAAAAATTTTAGGTATCATGGATACCGCATGAGCTAATCATATTTCATTTATTGTGAAAAGTTAGCAAAATCTTGTTCAATCATATCTGTTGCATTCTAGTACTACTAGTGATGAGATATAGATTTATTTTAGATAGGTTAGTCATAAGTTATCCGATGCTGGCTGGCTTATTGAAGATGAATCGTCAAAGACTATTGTTCATGAATAAAGATTTTAGAAAATGCTTTGTTTGGTATATTTTTTAAATCAAATACTCCTGAATGTAGATAAAGGCAAGACTGTAAGTCACAAGTATTAGGCTGAACGCTCTCCAAAACATTTTATTAATCAAATATGGAAACAAACAGACATCAGGTTCATAATGTACAAAATTGCTTGACGGTCATCGTTGACTTCATACTCATCTAATGTTATTAATTGCATGACAGAAGAAGGCATCAATATAATATCATATCTATCATATTCGCCAGGCCTGATACTATGTAACTTTTCGCTAATTAATTCTATCAAATGTTGTTTAACTGATTAAATAAATGAAACTTGATAAGCTCGTGCGATATCTAAGATATTTAAAAATTTTTTCGAAAAAAACTTTTAACAAATTGTTGGAAAGGTTCGAACTTGGTATAAATAATCATGGCAACTGTCCTGAATACTTGATAAAATAAAATTAAAGATGCCTACTTATCTTTATATTTTTATATAATGTTGCCAGAACTTTTGGTCAGACCTAAGTATGGTCGAATTACATGATTTATCTCCTGATGAATCACTTGATAGGACAGCTTCGTCGAATACTGATCGTTCATCTACAATTATTTCTTCATCTCTCAGTCATTGGTCATCGAGTAATATTAAATGTAATTCGTCAAATATAAAAATGTTTTTAAAAGAACAACCACAAAAATACGTGCTTGTCGACAATCACAAAGTGAATCATTCAAAACCATCTCATATAGACTTGAGTTTTGTTTTTGTAAAAAATGATTTTTCATAAAAGGAATCCATCATTAAAAATAAAGTATTTGGTAAATAAAAAATTTCTTCGGGTTACACGGGGACGGGTCGGGGCCCGTCACAAAAATGGCGGGTCGGGCGGGCTGGTCCAAGAAGCTGCCTGTGCGGGGTACGGGCGGAGCGGGTATAGATTTGCCGGGGGACAGGCGGGGCGGGGATTCTCAAAAAGAATAACCACGGGGTTCGGACGGGACGGGTTTGTGAATTTTACGGGGCGGGCCCCGCGGGGGATGGAAAATCAATGCCCCGCACATCTCTGGTTTGTCTCTCAATTTTGTCATGTTCAACATGCAGTTATGTCACTTTGTTTATATACAGAAACAATAAAAGTCTTTTGCAATGTGTAAAAAATATCAAAACAACAAAAAAGCTGATTACATTTAAACTAGTCAGACTTTTTGCTAAACGAAAAATAATAATTTTTTTTTTCATAGCTCGAATTCGCGCAATGCATCTAAACTATAAAACTATTTACTTTCTTAGTTTAACTCTATTTAAAAAAAATATATATATAACAGTCAATAATTTTGTTTGTTTTTTTTTCGTTTCAACTTTTGTATGTTTTGTTAAATAAAATGCAATAAGCATGAGTAATGAACAAAATAGTTCAAGATTATCGATAAACAATGAAAATCAATTGATAACAGAAGTAAAAGATTCGACAATGACAACAACAGTCGAACCTATTAATATTCGACCTGTTCATAGTATGACATGTTATATCTGTTTGGAAAATATTGTAACAATGCACAAACAATTTGGGATACAAAACAATTGTGATCATATATTTTGTTTTGATTGTTTATCAACTTGGCGTCGCACGGTCAGTTTTTTCCATAATTAAATTGTTGAATATTCCGAACTTTGTTAAAAATATACTTTTCTAAATGTTTTCAGAGTGCTATGATTGATAAGGATACAAGTAGACGATGTCCATTGTGTCGTACACGATCAACTTTTATAGCTCGAAGTTGGCGTTGTTTTAATAATCGTGATGATAAACAATCTTTAATTGATACACATAAATTAAGTTTGAAAACAATGCCCTGTCGAACTTTATTACGATATGGTTATTGTCGATTTGGTCATCGATGTTATTATAATCATCATATTCCATTAACATCATCAACATCTCAAAGATGGTCGTCGTCATCACCAATTAATACATCGATTTCATTCAATGAACATCAACAAAATTCATCAATTATTTTTCAATCGATGAATGATAATAATAATAATGATGAACAACAGGAACCACCAAGAAGATTTACTTATAATTCACATCGATATAGACCTTATTAGAATAGAAATAATTTATGAGATCTATTTTCTTTATAATAATGTCCTGCTATTTCATCGAAATAACTTTAACTATTTTAGCACATTTTGAACATCTGAAATAATAATATTTAATTTTATCTTTTTTTTTGTGTCATAGCCATTAGTTTGTACAGTCATACCTCTTTGTTTCTCTTTCTTTAAAATTATAATTCAACGAATTTTGGTTTTTTTTATTATCTTATTTTATTCTATATAGACACTAAACTAAAATAGATCAATTTATAATCAAATTAAACTACTTTATAATGCTCAAAATATTAATATCTGATAGTTCCAATAGGAATACTTGATGTTTTCATTATTAATATTCTAGCAATTGAAACCAACAAACTCTTCATGTATCGATCAAGTAAAAAAAAACGTATAAAATTCCGGTCACATGATTAAGTAAACAAAATTTATTTACAAAAGATGTCAAATAAATGAATAAATCAAAATTATAGCAATTTTTATAGTTGATAGGTGAGCTCTGACATTTGATCATTTGTATTGTCAGATATATCTTCAATATCTCCTAATGATAATATATACGATGTATGTAATAGGAAGTGATAAATATCATTTTATTTTTCGTTTCGTCTGTTCAATCGCTATGTTAGTCTGCTGTACACGTTGATTTAATCGTTCAGTAAACTTCTGAGCATACTGTCCTCTATTAACGAACTTTGACATATGCTGTTTAGTTTTGCTTTAGCTTAGAATTCAATTAATTCATACTTTTCTATATTGATCTAAGCATTGTTATTATTGACACGTCTTTTCAAGTTGCTAGTAAAGCTCCATCCACAATTGCTAGGAAACTGTGCCCAATCACCGTTGGCCTTTCCTTCCATCTCTAGTTGCTAGGACCTAGGGCGCTATAAAATATCTTGATTTAAATTTAAACTTTTTATTTTCTTCGAAAATATGAGTGAGTTCCATAAATATGATAGAAAGAGAAAAAAAATCTTTCAAGATATGTTTCTAATATGCTAGTATAATCTAACATTTAAAAATATAATTTATGAAATTAACATATATATATATATATAAATTCATTTTCAGAGAGGACTCCTTCTTAAATGTAATAATGTCAATCGTATTATTGTCATACAAAGGTTACCCAACTTGCAAAAAACATTGTTTTATGAAATTTGTTCATCATCATTTTAATTTTCTTCAAAATTTGAATTGAAATAAATCGTTACATATTACAGTTGTTAAATCATCCATATATGTGATGATTATGAAGCATTTAAGGGTGTGAGTATGGATGAAGAGAATATCCACACCCATTCATTTTGTCACGTTTCTGTTGGACTGCAGTTGTAGATACACTGGAATATAAAGACTGGCGAGGGTAATGGTTTTCATTTAATCTCATCGTCATAGTCATCTGAATTGATAACCAATCAAGATGATAATAAACTGACTATTTAAAATAAGATGTTTTATGAGGATGAATCATAATTGATCCAGATCCATTGTCGCTCATAAATTCATTCAATAACAACAGAAACTATCGATAATTGTATAAAGAATTCGTACCTAAGGAATGCTATTTTCGAAACTATTGTCCATTTCAATTATTAATAGGAACAAAATAAAGATCTGCGGTTTTCACCGATTAAAAGAGGGGATGAAACTGCATTGAATCGTATAGACTAGAGTTTTCTGACAATTTTTCTCAGGATCTCTCGCCAAGTGTTTTAAAAAATCGAAGCTTTTAAATAAGTTTTTAAGGTGGATTTTTCGTCAAAAAACCAGAAAAAAGATCAATTTTTTGTGAAAAGTTTGCCAATACTACGCAGTAAAATGCTTATTTTATAACTCACGATTGACTAATTCTTACAACATAGAACTTACATAATTTATAGATCTTTAGTTAATGATTCTAGTGCATTCCTGAAAATTGAAATCATAAAACTTTTATATTATACAATGTTTTGTTTTTAATAAACTTGATGTTGGATCTTGCGAAAACTTCTCGGAAAGATCTGATCTATACGATTCGATGCAGTTTTGTCTTATCTTTTAAACTGTTAAAACTGCAGATTTGAATATGGATATGAATCTTAGCTAAATCACATTCCACATCCATCCTCAAATATAATCCTACACTTCCATACTCTTTTATTCAGTGAATTTCACAAGAAAACAAATTCAAATTCATTTTATGTGCCAATGACAAACAAGACGATATGTTTAACCAATAAGACAAGATCAATTGGAAAGAAAATTATGGTGGTGTGAGACGAAGTAAGGAAATTGAAGAAAAAATTCTGCGTAACGAAAGGTTTTTGAATTATTAATTTCTAGGAATTTTCATTTTCCAGAATAGCTGATCACGCTGGCATTGATTAATTCTTTGGTCATTTTTGTGGTAAATAGACGAAAATCATTACGTCTTGGAATACATTGTAGTCTATTGAAACATGGATGAATTACTCGAATGGTATCAATATGAGTGACTGTTTCACTCGGTCCTTCGATAATATCACAATTGAACCGATTTAGATGAACAAAACGTTGTGCGAGACTTTGAGCAAAGAATAAAAACGGAATTTTACATCGCAGTAGTAGTTTAATTGATTGAATATTTGGTATACAGACTAGTACGGTTTCTATTTCTTCCGAAGTTAATGTATGATGAGGATCGGACAATATAAATCGTCTGAGTAGATGATTATTTACCGATGGTGGCGGGAAAACACTTCGGCTATTTGCACCGAGTAGATGCAAGTGAAAATAAATAAGATTGGGACATGCGGCAAGAACATAGCGCACAATGACTGGATCTTGACCACAGATTCTCACTGATTGGAGATTTGGTACTGATGACCATACACGAGAAAAGGGTACCTCAACTTCGCCTAATCGGATATGACGAAGTATGTGAAATCGATTGGAGAAGACATTCTCGGCTAAGTGTAAAGATCGAGAAAAATCAACATCCAGCGAGCATGAAAGGTAAATCAGATGAGGTAGCGATTCCGGCCGAATTAATTTCGTTTGATTTTGATTTGCTTGAAGTAAAGTTAGAGAATACAAATTTGAAAATTGGTCGAAATCAATCGTATGCCACGTATTAACGACCAATCGAGTAATTTGTTTAGGCAACAATCCAAGAAAATCAATGTTGTTCTTCTTCAAAATCAACGATAGATTGTTCAATGATCGAAGAAGCTTATTGATGCGAAAATTTAATCCCCAAAAACCTTGAAATAAACCACCAGCCTCAATATGTTGAAAAGTTTCCAACAATAGTTCGTTCGGAAGATGTTCAAATAGAGTGCACATATCTACAACATACAATTCTTTGTATTCGTATTTGAAAATAGATGCTAATTTTATTCTACAAAATGAATGCTGTCAATAAAATGCGAGCCAAGTGAAATGTCTAAAATGAAAGAGATATTTTTATTGTCAACGAGAACATGTTCGTTATGTCGTTTGCCGTTACATTTTATAACGGTCTGTGCTCTTCAATAACCTTCATGGTAGACAGTGGAATAAGATGCTCGTGAAAGGAAATTGAACCTACAGACTTTCTGCGTGAGCCTGTATTTTTTGATTGTGCTTTCGGGATCGTTGTGCACATAGAAGAAGAAGGAAATAGATCCTCATAGGTTGATAAAAGTCTATTTTCTCTCAAACATACACGAAAAATAAATTAACTCAGTCTCACTTTTTTAGTTGGCTTATGATGGGATCTGAATGATACCATAGTTTCTGCTTGTTTCAAGTGGTATATCTACAACAGGTCTAGTTTGATGGAAACGAACGACGATTTACTAAGTTGGTCTTATGAAATATGATATATCTAGAATAACTGAATAAAGAAATAATAACGATTTATTGTTTTGCGTTGAGCTTGATTTCAATTGAAATGGTATGTACAAACCACAGCTAGGTTGTGACAAAGTTATTTTTGGTAGTGGTATGAAAATAGGCAAAGCTGCACTTGCGATTTGACTGGTCGATGAGAAAATTTCGCTCCAATAAGTTTTATGTGCAACATCAACTTGAATGCTTCTGGTTACTTTATGTACGGAAACAAATGTAATAATAATTCTCTTTAATGAACTACAACAAAATTCTCTGGATGGATGTATCAAACAACAGGCGAACACCTATTTACGAGAGCACATTTAACATGCTATCAGGCGCATACATAACAGATGCACGTGTTTATCTGATTAAAGATAACAGAAAGACTCCTCATATTTTGACACGTATTTCATACATCTGCTTCCTAAGGGAAGATAATACGCACAATAGACTTTCTTATTTCAACAGATGCTAGTGTTCATATTCCTTATTTTCAGATAATTAATAAATCTTCTTTTGATTCGTCTACAACTCCACGAATTTCTATTGCAGTCTTGCAGATGTGATTCTTCCTTCCTTTGGGTGTAGGTGTGGGTGTGGGTCTTTTCTTCTATGACACAAATGCCCACACGTACACCCACCCTATTTTCAAAACTAATCACTATGATATTTGACTAGGACTTTGTGATCACGATTGATTGACTAAAACATGGGAAAGTACAAATATTGCTCAACGGAAAAAGAAGACAATAGTAAAAATTGTAGAAGTTTTACTTTTATAAATAAATTAAAAATTTATGAAAAATTCTGAATAATGACTTTTTTCATCTTGTCGTTTATACTTCAGTTCAATGTAAAAGAATAAAAAAAAAGCATTAAACATAAAACTATAAGAATATAATGAGTTTTGTGTCAAAGAGTTTTAAACAGATATGAACTTTTGAAAAAAAAGAAAAGCGAAATGAATATATGGATGACTTATTTCATATTAAAAAGAATTCAGCTATTCAAAAATTTTCTAGAAGTTGTTTCATGTGTATATATGTCTCTACGTTATTCGTTCTGCAATTTTATTCATTGCTAATTCATTTCATTTTGTGTTTCTTGACTGTTGCTTTAATTACTTCGATTTGTCATTGTTTTCTTTTCAAATGTTGTTGTAATATATGGATCCTATTTCCTTTCTTGTCATGGCTTCTTATTGATTCTATATATATATATTCATGTAGAGAAATCGATCAGTTAAAATAAATTTTTGACTGAATTAAATGATTCCAAAACTTTTCTAATTGTTCCAAGTAGTCCTACGAATATATAATATTTTACATCTGTTTTTGACAAGCATTTTGAAATGTCTCAAACAAAAGCCAAATACAAAAACAATAACGAGTACTGCGAGTTTTTTTTTGTCTCTTTTGACAAGATGGAATTTTTTTCTTTGTCTTGCATCCCTCAAAATTATAGATACTCAAGATGGAAAACATCGTCACTTTGCAATGTTTGTTCGCATCCAACGGTAAACAAGATGACGAACAATTCTGAAAAATCGAGACATACACAAATAACTACAAGAATGATTGAAGAAATTGTCGACGTTGTTTTGCCTTAGGAGAATGAAACAGAAAGTATTAAGTGAACTAAATTAAATGGTAACAAAAAAAAAACAAAATTGATTTTGATGTTGTTTACATAAGAGAAGTAGATGGGACAGCTATCAACAATAACAATAGAAAATCAAAAAAGTTCCACTATTGCATCCAGAACATTATAGAGAAAAACTTATTGGAGTCAAATTTCGAAAGACAAGTTTGAGTGAATCAGCAGTTGAAAATCTTTTGGTTTAGTTTACTTGTAGAAAAAAATAATAATATTAACTATTCAGATATTTTATGATAGGAGTAAAAGATCTGTTACGATATATATTGTCAATACATAAGGGTGTGGAAGTGGGCGTAGATGAGTGCAGACAGAGAGAAGCAATACATCCACGTCTACATCCCACACCTACATCTAACCAATAATACTATGTTTGCTTTAGTGATTTCATTGGAATCATTTTCTCATTCGTATTGAATTTTGGTAGAAAGCGGGATAGACTTACTCCTTTTCATCTGCTACAACCGAAACTCAAAAGTAAGCTTTCGTAGCCATGGCTATGACACCGAAAGTCAGGCGATAATAATTTCTGTCAAACTAAAAAGCTGTCTGTAGAAAAATTGTCGACATCATCCGTCATAATTTTTGACTACTCCTATTATGAAAACGATCGAGAACCATGAAGAGTGTTAACTTCTTCAAGCATAGAAGTACAGGACACAGTAAACATACACGCACTACATAAAAAAGATACATATACGTCCTATTTTTTTTTGAAGCTTTTCTTCGTTCTTCATCAATCGACAGTAAAATAAGCACGACGATGGTGCAGAATGATGTAACGTTTAACTTATCTTCGTTTGTTCTAACCGCTATTGATAGAGAAAAGAGGAAAGGGAGTAAAAAAAATGTGTGAATCATTCTACATAAATTGAATGTGCGTTTCGTGTCTCATGTACACCTATGCCCGAAGAAGTCAATATCATTGACAAAAAGTGAGAAGAAAAATAAGAAAGAAAATGAAGAAATGCATCCATTAAAATTGAGTTTCAAACACATTCTTGTCAATCAAGCAGTATTCAATGACAGTCACGGCTGGCTGATTGCTTGCATTTCACGAGTAACTGCACAGTACAACAGAGATACCCTACACAATAAATACAAGGAAAGGCAACGTGCGATACACAACAGACAGAGACACATCTGTTACAATTATTCTATAGTTGTAAGAATATGAATTGGTCTGCATTGGAAGATGGGCGACTCGTATCTGACAATGATGCTACACGACTGCCATCGAAAAGCTCAATCGACTCAAACGAATCTCCTGTTATATTTGCTCGTGATTCTGGTAGATCATCTTCAATGAACAGCAAGGACAGTGTTGTCGAGAAAGTGAGTGAATCCACCGAATTACTGTTGGTTAGATCTCAAGCTAAATATGGCTACTTAGAACATATTCAATCGTACAAACCATTCTGTGCTTCAGATGACAAGTCTCTTACGAGAAAAGCCAGGTAACTGAAAATTAATTTGAGTTCTTGTTTGACGAGAAAGTATCATATGAAAAGAATTGTTTGTGCTTATTTTGAAAAATAAAGGTTCCGTCGAATAGTAAATCAAACTTCAGAAGATTGATGGCCAAAAAGTCTTGTTTTTCATAAGTGATATTTTTTTATTCGAACTGATTTGTTTGCTGAGTGCATCATATTCATCCAGCTCACCAATCTATAATCGGTTGAGATGGCTTCTGAAGAGACCTCTTCTAAGTCCTTCATTTTTATTCTCCACATTTTTCTGATTTATATAGGCAATTCTACGCGAATCAACTGGAACTTATAAATTCTATCGAAGCTATCCTCTTACCGAAGACTTTTGACGAAGAAACCAGCACAACGGCTTATCAGAAACAACAGGAACGCAAGACCAAAATACTGAGTATCATGACTCTGATCACCAATATTGTATGTTCTACATTGTTTACATCGTTGTGTAGTGGATCTCTCTGTTGAATGTAAGTTTCTAGCGCTTATCAAAACAGTGGGTGCTGTCATGTCAAAATCTCTCTCAGTGATCTCAACACTTGTCGATAGTGCCATTGATCTTTTATTTAATATTATTCTGATTTGGGCAGCCCGTAAAATCAAACAACGCGATGCATACAAATATCCTACAGGTAATTGATTATGAGGTTTTTCCAGGTACTTTTCTATTGTTTTACAGGAAGAACACGCCTTGAATCGGTCACTATCGTTATTTTATCTGTAGTCATGTGCTCAGCTAGCCTAGAGGTGATCGTTGAGAGCAGTAGAGCTTTAACTCGAGATATCGGTTATTTTACTCATCCATACAATGCTTCATCGTGTAGAACACTACAGGATATCGATATGAGTACATTGCCTGTTGTCGCCATGATATTCACCATCGGTGAGTCTTGCATTTTCTTGTGAACAAGATTTGTTTGTATGCATTCATTTCTAGTGTCGAAGGCCATTCTTTTCGTATTGTGTTATCGGATCAACAATCCAACGATGCGCGCTCTTACTGAAGACAATCGAAATGATGTGGCTTCAAATACTGTGGCACTTGTGTGTGGAATTATCGGTAATTTAAGACCTTCTGTATAGTAACACTTGTGGATGAGAGAAAACATCGAATTAGATCAATTCTTAGCGAATAGCGATCAAGATTTTATTTTACCCATATCTCTATCACAATACTTCGATTGAAGCAGAATGAAATTGTCGTTTTAGATTTTCTGACTACATTCATTTATAGTCTATGAGTTCAAGAAAGATGAATATCTCTCATTATTTAGCCTTAAAGAGATATTCAATTGTCCTCTTCCGAACGTCACGTCACGCAAACGAAACGTTTTCATTGTTGTTTACGGTCTCGAAAAGTTCGACTTTTGGAACTCCTATCTCAACAACCGCATTCCGAGTCTTCTGTATTTAGAATATTATCTATGTTAAACCAGTTATTTAATCGTCGAAATGTGCTGCACGGATGGGAGATAAATTTCCCTAACCTTTTTAGAAAGCAATAATTGATAATTAAACATGGAAAAATAAAAATTCAGAAATATCGAAAAGCAGCGTATTGCATTCTTACATATTTTCCTCAAAATCAATTTGAATACTGTGGGTAAGGTTAGAAGAAGGTGGAAAATTTAGGTCATTTTAAGCCTTTATGCATTCTAGATTGCAGGAAATGAAGCATCTATAAATATTGACCCTAGAATAGCTTGCAATCTGTTCGTCGAGTTGTTCTTGAGAAACTCAGGAAAGGATGGACAGGGAGAGTGTTTTCAAATATTTGACGGCTATTCTTAAATAAAAGAAATGATCAAAAGTGCTTGATCTTTTAGGTTCGAATGCTCTGCACCAGAAGATTAGACAGGAAGCTATTGTTGTCGACCCAATTGGGGCCATCATTATTTCAATTTACATCATAATCGTTTGGATTCGGCATGGCAAAGGTAAGTGCTTAGTGTCACCATACACGAGGTTTCCTCATTAATACACGATATTAACTCTTATTAAATCTCACCACATCTCTTGAACTGTCAGACAGTTCGAAATGATGATTACCTTATTGAAATAGTCATTATGTGATTTGGTTTTGCACAGGACAAGTTCGCTGCCTAACAGGTCTGACGGCTGATCCACTCTTTCTGCAACGGATTACCCATGTTGTCTACAATTTTCGCCCTGATCTAATAGCAAAAATCAAAAATATTCGAGCTGTTCATCATGGTACGAAATTTTTCGTCGAAGTTGAGATTGTTGTGTCAGGTTCAATGCCTCTGGCTATTATACACGATGTCCGAGAGGAACTACAAAACCAACTTCAAAAAGTACCCGATATTGAACGAGCATCTGTCCATGTCGATTCTGAAGTTACACGCGCGTTAGCATATGAAGACAATGTCGTTTGATTTCGCGTTTTGAACGCTACCATGAAACATTTTAATCAAGATTATTCGTATAAAATAAAGTTAGTATAAATAAAGCTATTTGTAAAATATGTTTCTGTTAATCTGTGCTTTGCGACAAGTGGTCACCTTGAAGAAAAGTTTGGAATCGGATGGCTGTAGGGCGTGGGTGTGGATGTAGGGTGTTGAACCGATGTGAGTGTAAGTGCGGATGTTGATATCGATTTGGATGAAGAAACAAGCCAAGCACACCCACACCCACCAAAAGTAGCAGAAAATCACATACGCAACGTAAATATTTTCTTTCATATTCGCCATACTAAGCGGATTAAAGAAGACCATGGGACTCGAACACATACAAAACTTAAAATAAGTCAGGGTGTGGATGTGGGCTTGATGGTGTGGGTGTGGAAGAAGCTGTAGATGAAGAGGAGACTCACATCCATATTCACCCACACTCACACTCTCGATATCGAATGTAGACGAAATCAGCTGAAAAATATTGATTTCAGTAGCAAAACGTTATCTCAATCAGAAATCAGTACCAAAGTTTTTGATTGCTGCCAAAAGTATGGCAATTGTCGAATTCGATAGAATATATTGATCTAGGTAAATAGGTATACGTGGATATTGCTAAAGCCATTTATCGAAAAGCTATTTCATCGCCAGATCAGTCGAAAGATCTTGCTATGTTATACATATATATGTGTGTGTGTGAAGAATTGCAGGTTGAAATGAGAAATCCTGAACAGCAAAGTTTATTTCCCATGACACATCAAGCAGTCACAAAGTGGTTGCATCCATAAGGCACAAGCAATAAGTTTGAAGCGAAGATTCACCCTTTCTTCCAAGCACTTCATCAAGATCTGATCACTCAATAGATGAGTTCGTTCCTGAAACTGCGTGTTAAAATTGGAGTTACAGAATTATACAAGTGCTGGCAAGAGCACCTCGATCAATCGTCTCCTTGGCATACCATCTCTGGACGAGGAGGGCGCGGCGTTCATATCAGCCAATATGATCTAGAAGAGCCTTTAATCGATCCAACCAATCCAAATAACAAAACTCCGGTAACCTTTGACGACCTTCAGAGTCATGATGCAAATACAACGTTCAATAATAATGAAATTTTAGCGGGCAACTATCTGGATGAAATTCGCAAACCCGATTGCGACATCTACATTATAGTTTTCGACAAATCCTTAAGCGTTGAACACAAGAAATGGATCGATAAAATTGAAAACAATCTAAAGCGTCCACGTGTATTATTCGGATCAAAGATAGGTAATGATGTTTTACATAAATTCAAGATAGATTGCAATGAAACCTATAGTGACATGAAACCAACTCGATGTATTGAACTTGCAGCACCGATTATTGGACAACTACGCCAAGATAATGCTGTTCTTCCAAACCAGGTATATTTGGTAGTCTGGAACTACAAGCCTTGCAGCTTTAACGCGAAAGAACTATAAAGAGAGCAACTTTTTGACTGCCAAGAATTGCTCGCAACATTAGGTCGATTAGCTGCTGTGAGAAATATCAGCCGTATGCATAGAATAGCTGTAGATGCGTTAATTTATGTTATCAATACATGCTTTCGTAGTGGCTATATCCTCAATGCTCTGAATTTCAAAGTTGCCGCCAGTTTCGCAGCTGCTATCCCATTTCTAGATCAACTTTCTCGTTATCTCACCAGAGACAGCATTCGAACAATGTTCGGCATCAACGCCAATTTCCACAATTATCTACGAAATTTGAGACTCACTGTTCATGAGTACAAATAACAAACATCAGTATTTGAGGAAACAGAGAAGGTCGATGACACACAGATGAAAACAACTGTTAATGGTAAATCGTTAGCAAAGACTGCCGGTACTGATCTGCTGGTAGCAGGTAGTAGTGTTGCTGATGATATCGTTTGAGCAGCTGCACTGTCGACAACGATCTTATCCGAAGTGGGATGCGTCATTTTCACTATTGCCACCTTAAGTATAAGTGTAGCGAACACTATCGGCGTTTGTGCTTGGTCCGCAGTCGATAGTGGAAAACATATTTTCAGCTATGTTAATCGACTTTGTGATGACCTGATCATGATAACAGATGAATACGTTATACAAATGTTACTTTGCCAATATGGTAGAAGCATCAACGATACGAATAATGAGACGCATGAATAATGACGGACTGTTTGTACATCTAAGGAACATTTTCGGTATTTTATTTCTTTTTGCTATCTTGATTTCAGAAGTAGTTGTCGAATGTGATTCAATGATACATGATCTTTCTCATTGTCAGCTTGCTTTCCCAAATGTTTGTCTTCGTTGTTTGCAGGCTTCACAATGTATTCAATAAAACTTTATATTCGATCTATCAATACTTTTTCAGTGCTTTGATCATGAATGTCTTTACAGTATTTCACTGCCTATGTATCAAAGGCGATTATTCAAGTGAGTTTGGGTCAAAGAGTGATTGTGTTGAAAACGGCGATATCTAAAGAGTATGAGTCAAATGTATTGCAAATAAATCATTCACAATGATAACAAAAAAAGGATAACACGAAGTAAATATTATTTAAAAAAAAACGTTGTTTTTATACACTTACGTCTTCGATTCATTCCTTATCAGTTCGTCGTTTTATGTATGTCATAAAAAAGACGCTATACGCTAACGTCATCAACACCCACCTTTGATGAATTCTTAATAATACAATGAAAAGACATAAATACAGAGTAATAATACTCGGCGCAAGAAGATCATCGATATAACTGTTTTCTTCGTCATGACTGATTATTCAGCAGCAACACATAAGCTTTTGCTTCGTTACTATAAAATTCGTCAAAAGATCGGCGATGATTTCAAAATCAAAGATCAATCAGGTCAAACGGTTTTTCAAGCTCGATCAAAACATCCCATATTTGGCGATAAATTCATTCTTGAAGACATAAACGGACGGTAAGTGATTATTGAATTCCTATCAATCATTAGCTATTTTTTAATTACTTGAAAATCAACTCAACACTCATTGAACTCACATTTGCCTGTCGAATGACGAAAAATTTTCCCTAAATTTCAAGAGATATACTTAATAAATATTTGTTGTTCTTTTCTGTAGACCACTGATCCAAATTCGAGGAGAGCCTTTTTTCCACAATAACTTCGAAATTTTTGCCTATACTTCTGATGGTTCCAAAGAACGTCTTGCGACGATTAATAGAACATCCGTCTGGAAACATAATTTCATTATTCAAACGACCTATGGTCAATATGAACTGAAACAAGATGGTCTACTCGCTCTTTCATATCTTCTAACGAAAAACAGAGGTCAAGATACTGTGGCAACTATTCAACGACATGGTCTTTCGCTGATGGATACATTTACAGTAGGAATTATAGAGAATGAACAAGAAAATTATGCATTTATTTTGTCCATGATCATTGCTTTGCATTGCACATCTCATGATTAGTGTCTTCTATGGTGAACTGAGCCGAACGTATCAATTTCATCTTTGTACTATATCGAATTTTGATATTCTTTTTTTTCAGTAATGCTTTGAATAAATCGATCAGTTTGAGACAGTTGACTTTCTCCCAAAACAGGTCTCGAGTTTCTCCGAAAGGCTTACGAATACAAAGAAATATGTTTTGTTGTCAAGGAATTCACTTCGTTCTCTATTTTGCTCTTGTAAATAGAAAATATATTCTTTCAAGGACAGATTGAACTATCATTTCAAGAGCGTTCGCTAAGGATCAGAATTTGAAGATTTTTGCAGATACATCAATCTGGTTACAATTTCAAATTTTCACTAGCAAATATCTCTGTGTATTGTCGAGTGATTGGACCAAAATGAATACGAAAAACAATTTACATGCACGAAAATTTGATAAATTTTATTATTTTTCATTATAGACCACTTCTGTAAACGAAATACTCGTTCCAACGGTTTGTGCGAGGGTGTGGGGTGTGAGTGTCCGTGTTTCTCTTCATAACACACGCAACTACACCCACACCCACACTCGAATGCGTGCAATATCGATCAGTTTATTTAATTACACAGAAATCAGAGACCAAAACTGAGTCGAGAATGAATGTGAATGGAGATGAAGAGAAGATTAACAGCCATAGCCACACCCTCAAAGAAGGTAGTTAAACGTATAAATCATGAATAATAAATAAATAAATATTAAGAGTTTATCAGCCTTATTATAATAATAGCTGAAAAATATATAAAGAAAGATCGATATACATATTCCATATGTCCTACCAATAATCTATCAAAGTAAGAAAAGAATATTACTGTATTTTGACTGAATGAGTTAATTTTTTTTCCTGATGATAGATAAAATCTCCAAGTTTTTATCCATAAACGAAGATTTACTAACATCACTTACAACTATTATTATCTACTTAAACGAAAATACGTGGGTTAGTCAATAAGTTCTCGGACTTTCAAATATTTATTCATAGAAAAAACATTTTGCTAATCTTTTCACAGTGAATGTTCAAAGTAGTTCCCACGATATTCAGTACAAAGTTTCATCCTTTCAATCCACTCCTGGAATGTCTTTCAGTATTCCTGAATACATATTGAATTAAGCTCGTTGGTTATTGCTTTAGCTAAACTTGTAGCATCTGAATATGTACCAAGGCTGCGTTTCAGATAACTGAACAACCAAAAGTCTGAAGAAGCACGATCAAGTGACGATGGTAGATGAGCCATAACTTTCATTTTTTCCTCTTGAAGATAGTAAAGATTGAGAACAATATCTAAAATATGTGATTTCGCAATTTTATAATGTAAATTTATGCTACTTGTTTTTGACGATGCTTTTTTCGTATGTAAACTTTTGACTTAAATCTTCAAGTATTTATCATGATAGTTTATATGATAACTGTGTCTGAGGTGGTAGTAGCATAATCAATACTAATATGTGGATCATCATTCACCAGGTCCTGGATCGCATCAATATTTTGTTTAATAATGACGGTTATTGGACGACCA